TTAAAATATTAACATTAGCTAAAGTGCTTTAAAACATGTAAACATTTATTTGCAACAAAACAGGAAGATTGAAAATATGAACAGTGGGTAAAGTGCTTCAAAACATGTAAACAGTAAAGTCAAACAAAAGGGGAATCAGTGCAAAGTGTATCATGATTTGTCTTTTTTTGGGCGCCTCAATATATAGTCCGAACCATTTTCAAAAAATTGCACAATGTCCGCTTCATGATTATAATGCCCAAAACCCTGCAGTCATTTGTCCCTCCAAGGGCACCTAAGCCAGGAACTGGTCAATGTAACCGGGGATAGAGGCGAGATCCTCCGGGGAGAACTCCTCATACACCTCCTGCAGGTGTTTTTCCAGCCTCATCAGCAGGTTCCTGGGCAGGGAGAGCTTATTAGGCCCCCCGTGGTAGGACACGTTTCCCTGCCACAACGCCAGCAGGTACTCCGGGATCATGGCCTTGCACAGCAGTGCAGCAAATGGCCCCGGTTTCTGAAGGCTGTCCCGGAGCATCTTCTCCTTCTGGCTCTCGGAGACCTTCAGGAGGGTGATGTCTGGCATGGCTCCCTGCTGTGAATTAGGTAGGGGAAAGTTAGTATTGGGACTGCTTGCCCGTCCCTTTATAGAACTGCAACCGCCGGTTTACAGCCACGCGGTTTACAGCCGCGAGGGGGTGGGACAGGGGCAGAGTTCATGCTTGCAGGATTGCTGCCAGCAGAGACTCGCATTGCTTTCTATTTGAAAGGAGGCCAGTGCCACTCTTAAAGTTTTAAGCGGCCACAAGTCTACGGCTTACCATGTTTGCCATCTAGACAAAGTCCGGTGTCCTGCCCTGCTCCTCAGCTCGCCACAGCAAGACCGCAGGCACGGTAGGCGAGGGCCGAAAATTCGACCTTGTCCTCAGTGCGCGTGTGATAGGTGCTCTGCATGGTCTTGTTCACAGAGAAAGACTATGTTCTCTGTTCACAGATACATTGCTCTGTCTCAGGAATTCACTCCCTTTTTCCAATTCCCACAGCCACATCTGCCCAGAGGCTAGCGCACATTAGGAGGAGGAAGAAGAGGACACGGGAAGACATGTTTGCTGAGCTAATGGGATGCTCCCGAGCACAGGCAGCCCAGCAGACACAGTGGAGGGAGAACTTGTCCCAAATGCACCGGGCAAACATGGAACGGGAGGAGAGGTGGCGACAGGAGGACAGGCAGGATACTCAAACGCTGCTTGGACTAATGAGGGAGCAAACGGACACGCTCCGCCGCCTTGTGGATGTTCTGCAGGACCGGAGGCAGGAGGAGAGAGCCCCGCTGCAGTCTCTCTCTAACTGCCCTGCCCCGCCACCAAGTCCCATACCCCCCTCACCCAAAGTCCAAACACGGAGGGGCGGAAGGGGCCGTGAAAAATTTCACTCCACCCCTGCGGACTGCTCTACCACTAGAAGGCTCTCATTCCCCAAAATTTGAAAAGTCCTTTCCTACCCGCCTCCCACAAGACCCCGTCCAAGTTTCACCCCCCCGTTCCGTGTGCGGTTGTTAATAAAGAATACGTTTCTGTTCATTTCTGTTTCCATCCTCTTCTTTTGGAGGGGAGTCTGTCTGAAGGGGGGGGGAAGGGGCTTGGTCATTGGACAGGACAGTCACCTTTAGCAGGGGGCAGGTGCAGCAGCAGGGCACATATACAGTGCAGTGACTAGTTATCCTGGTCAGTCTGGGAGGTGGTTTTCATGTTTTGTGTGGTGGGGGCGGTGGTGTTGCTCTGTGACTTGGTGGCGGGGGAGGGCAGTTACAGATCTTATGCAGCGGTCCTTACCCTGTATCACAGAGCCGCGCAACAGGGGATCTGTAACCCTCCTCCCCCTGCAAGACAGTCACATAGCCGACACATACACGCAGTCCCGGCCAGGAGGGCTGGCAGGCTCCGTTGAAACAACCAGTCCACCACCGCGGAGCCTGTCATTCCTGGAGTTTAGAGGCATCATTTGCATCACAACCCTAAACCCGCCCCCCGCCACAGTCTGTGTCACAGGTTTAAAACATTCCCGCGAAAACAGTAATAAAGACAACGGTGTCCATTAACAAAACAGAACAGATTTTATTTTTTGGGAATGGGGTGAAGGGGGTATGTAACTGGAGAGGATAGTCGACGGCAACTGGGTAAAGAAACGGGGGCAAGTTCAGCTTCTGTGTCCACAAACTTAAAAGTCACTGGGTACCCTGCTCAGCCTTGAAACTGGCTTTCAAAGCCTCCCGGATGCACAGCGCGTCCCGCTGGGCTCTTCTAATCGCCCGGCTGTCTGGCTGGGCGTAATCAGCAGCCAGGCTATTTGCCTCAACCTCCCACCCCGCCATAAAGGTCTCCCCCTTGCTCTCACAGAGATTGTGGAGCACACAGCAAGCTGCAATAACGATGGGGATATTGGTTTCGCTGAGATCACAGCGAGTGAGTAAGCTTCTCCATCTCCCCTTGAGACGGCCAAAAGCACACTCCACCACCATTCTGCACTTGCTCAGCCGGTAGTTGAAGAGTTCTTTTTCTGTGTCCAGGGCGCCAGTATAGGGCTTCATGAGCCAGGGCATTAGCGGGTAGGCTGGGTCCCCGAGGATCACTGTAGGCATCTCCACATCCCCAACAGTTATCTTGTGGTCCGGGAAGTAAATACCTTCCTGCAGCCGTCTAAACAGACCAGAGTTCCTGAACACGCGAGCGTCATGAACCTTGCCCGGCCATCCGACGTAGATGTTTGTAAACCGTCCCCGATGGTCCACCAGTGCTTGCAGCACCATTGAAAAGTAGCCCTTTCTATTGATGTACTGGCTGGCCTGGTGGCCCGGTCCCAGGATAGGGATGTGAGTCCCATCTATAGCCCCACCGCAGTTTGGGAATCCCATCGCAGCGAAGCCATCTATGATGGCCTGCGCGTTTCCCAGGGTCACTACCTTTGACAGCAGTACCTTGACGATTGCCTTGGCTACTTGCAGGACAACAACCCCCACGGTAGATTTGCCCACGCCAAAGTGGTTCGCGACTGACCGGTAGCTGTCCGGCGTTGCAAGCTTCCAGAGGGCTATGGCCACTCGCTTCTGGACAGTCAGGGCTGCTCGCATGCGGGTGTCCTTGCGCTTCAGGGCAGGGGACAGCAAGTCACAAAGTTCCAGGAAAGTGCCCTTCCGCATGCGAAAGTTTCGCAGCCACTGGGATTCATCCCAGACCTGAAGCACTATGCGGTCCCACCAGTCCGTGCTTGTTTCCCGGGCCCAGAATCGCCGTTCAACAAAATCCACATGCCCCATTGCCACCGTGATGTCCTGGGCGCTGGGGCTCGTGGTTTCTGACAGCTCTGTGCTACTCTCCGACTTCAGGCCCTCACGCCGGTGCCGTAGCCTCCTCGCCTGATTTCTCTGCATCTGCCTCAGGGAAAGGTGTATGATAAGCTGCGAGGTGTTGAGAACGGCCACAACTGCAGCGACGATCGCAGCGGGATCCATGATCGCAGTGCTGTGGCGTCCGCGCTGTCACTGATCAAAAAGTGCGCGAACTGATTTCCCGCCGGCGCTTTCAGGGAGGGAGGCAGGGCGGTAGTGACTGACGGATGACGACAGTTACCCAAAAGCACCCTCGCCACATTTTTTTACCCAGAAGGCATTGGAGGCTCGACCCAGAATTCCAATGGGCAGCGGGGACTGCGGGAACTGTGGGATAGCTGCCCACAGTGCACTGCTTCCAATGTCGACGCTTTCCCTGGTACTGTGGACTGACAAAGTCGAATTACTGTCCTTAGTGTAGAGACACACGTTCGACTTTCTAATATCGATTGCACATATTCGATTTAACTAAAATCGAACTACTCTCGTAGTGTAGACATACCCTTAGGCTCAGAGGGGCCATTCTAGGAGCTAGGGATCAATCACTGGGACATAGAGACAGCCCAACTGTTCCCACCTATTTTAACTATTTTAAAGATATGCCATACATGTTTACTGCACATGTGCGCTCGTGCGCTCTCTCTCTCTCTCTCTCACTGCCCCAGTACGTGGATCTTTTTACTAAACCAGTTCACATGAGCAGGTTGATCAGCTCTAAACACTGGCCAGTGATCAAAGGCTTGTTCCTGCGCCAATGTGAAGTATGTTATTTATTTCAGTGTGGAGAGGAATAGGCCCTTAAAGTCTCTTTCCAGCTTGAGAAAAAGGTGCATTTAATAAAAAGGAGCCATAATTGTGATCTTTTTTTCCCTGTCCGTTAAAAGACATAACTTGCTCCTCGTTGAAGGGAGATTGCTGTCATCGTGGAGAGAAAAGGGTTGGGCAAAAGGCAGGGCAAAATAGCAATGCATAGTACCACTTTGGGCGAGTCTTGGGGTAAGCAGGCTTGAGAGCTAACATGCTGTACAGCAAACGAATATCCTGTAAGAAAACCTTAAATCTACATACATTACAGCACAACCCTCAAAGAACAAAGCGTAACTGCAGAGGTTCAAGTGTTTCACTTATGTTTGAATGCAATGGATTGAGAAATAGATGAAGAACACTTTTCTGCAGCTAAAGAAATGTGATGGCAAAATGTACATTAAAATAAACATGTTTGGACTTTTCTAAAAGGTTGCATGTTATATTATATTTTGTCTTTCATTAAGCCATTCTGGCAGCTCTTTGACAGCATACTCTGCATTTCCTTTTCAGGGCTAGTGTGTTTTAGTAGACAACTGCTGGACATAAATATGTCATAAAATAATATCTTAGAGCATGATCCGCAGTCTATTGAAGCCAATGGAAAGACTCCCACTGACTTCAGCAGGCTTTTGATTAAGTCCTTAGTAAGGTTAGAAATACAAATCATTTCACTGTACCTGTGTTCTGTTTTGCCTTGAATATTTTTTTTTAAATCAATATTGTATGATGCCTGTCAGCTACTTTAGGCCAAAGGTCTACATGCAGTCACTACTTAAATGCGATGTATTTCAGATAGTTCACACCTATTTTTCTTTTTTGTCCCCTCCAGAGATTACGTATGAAGAAATGATTAGCTTTAAACCACCTGATTTAAAAATGGATAGCCTGGAAATAGAACAGTAAATACAACCAGCTGTGTTTTGCCATGCTGCACTATCAAGACTGTTGAAAACATAGCATTACAATTTAACCTATATTCCCAAGAGTAGATTTCACTATCCAAAGATGTTGGAGAAGGAATGGAAGAGCAGGTAAATGATACTGAAGTCAGATGTTTTTTGCCTTGTACTATGAATGTAATCACAGAACATAAAAGGCGATAAAGAACTGCTTCATTCTGACAAAATGATGCACTGAGTTCTGTTTTGCTGGATTTTTCTGCATGTTTCATTTTATCGGTTGTAATGCCAAAAATGAAGGTAACTTTTTTATTATTTTGAATATACTTTTTTTGAAATTGTACATTTAAAGCATGAATGTGTGCAAACATGAAAGTAGACGTCCATACACGCAACCAGTTGTTTCCTGGCATTACCCTAATTTTATCTGTTTTTTGTTTTTTATTTATAGCTAGTGCCTTTAAGAAAAAGAGGGCATGGTAGTGAGTTAGACATAATATGCAAATGTAGTCATATCTGTGGTGGTCTTATAAACATATTGGATGTCTCTTGAGTGGTTTAACACCAGTTGGAAATCAATGAATAAATCTTTGTCATGTTGCCATTTAAAGTGTCTGTTCTCATTATTTTCCGTATAGTCTTTAAAACTGCAGAGGATAAGTTTTTGAGAGCAGTGTTTCTGTGTGATGCTACTATAGACTGTGTCATCAGCGAAGAGTTAGTGAATTTGCACAGATTACAAGAATTCATGCCACAGACGCTTTGTGGAATTTCTCTAGTTTTCCAGAAATCTCACCAAAGATACCACAGATTGTAATGTAGGGATAATGTGTTCATTCATTGAACTCAACATCTCCCTACTCTCTTCTTTTCCTTCAGTCAATCCATGAGAGGCCAACGTAATAATTGAGATGAAAAAACAAAGCAGGGATAAGACTTAAGAAGAGTTTGGACATTTGTGAATAGCAAAATATCACCATCTCATTGGAATTGCATTTTATGCAGTATTTTAAAAGGCCCAATGTCTCTGAAGAGTTAGACAAACTAAATTTAAAGCTAATTCATAGCAGGATATAGCCGATGCCAAGATGTCTTAAAGAATTAACCCTATAATCTCATTTATCCCCTGGAAGTGTAACCATGATAAAGGAACATTATTATTAACATCTTTTGGTCTGAGATCCTCTGGTTAATATATGGCCATGTTTGTCTCATTCCTTTGTGATTCACAATTGCAAATACCAGTAGATGCTGTCCATTTTTTGTGTAATTTGTCATGCCATGTCTCATTCTGTCAGTGTCTCATTTCGGGGGGTTGCTTGTTTTCATATTAATGTTGTTACTTTGTTTTGCTGTGATGACTTTGTCATTAGTTTGGCTTGTACAGCTATTCTATCAGCTGATGAATTTGAATACATTTGTTTACTTTCTCTGTATTTTTGCTGTTTGATCTTTTTTCTTAATAAACAACTACAAAAAAAGGCAAAAGGAAATTTTTTTTCCATAGCACTTGACTACTATCGATGACTGAATTAACCTACATTAAAATATGTGAACACTGTACAGGCGCAGGAGGTAATAATTCTAGGAAGGGAAAATAAGTATTCACTTCATGATAAATATTCAGATGCAGCAATATCGTCTTATTTGTGAGAACTTGTTTTCTTTAAAACTTTACTAATTAATTAACAAATCTAGTGCTTATGTTAAGCCAGTTGAGACTCAGTAGAACCTGACCATGGGAATAATTTGTCTTCATGATTTTTTTCGTTTGAAAATTGCTGTATATAAGGCCTCATACAAAGGCAATGGGAGTCTTTCTGTTGACTTCAGCAGACTTTGAATCAGGCCCATAGTGGCCACTGAGTGATTGCTTATGATTTCACATTGATTAAATCAGTCAGATTTCCTGGGAATTTTGTGTAATCCACCCCCAAATGACTTCCCTGACTGTATAATGAAAAATCATGATCAGTTCATCTCCAGAAATAGAAATTTCAAGTAATTGATCTACTTTTTCTCTTAGCAAGTAATCAATGCCTGATCGTCTTGAAATATTTTAATGTTGAGTCCCAGCCTGCTGTGAAGCTACTTTAACACCTAAGAGCCACAAATAATAAGGTTTGTGAACAGAAGAAGATAAGAACAGCCATACTGGGTCAGTCCAAAGGTCCATCTAGCCCAGTATCCTGTCTTCCGACAGCGGCCAAAGCCAGGTGCCCCAGAGGGAACGAACAGAACAGGTAATCATCAAGTGATCCATCCCCTGTCGCCCATTCCCAGGTTCTGGCAAACAGAGGCTTTTAGGGACACCATCCCTGCCCATCCTGGCTAATAGCCATTGATGGACCTATCCTCCATGAACTTACCTAGTTCATTTTTGAACCCTGTTATAGTCTTGGCCTTCACAACATCTTCTGGCAAGGAGTTCCAAAGGTTGACTATGCGTTGTGTGAAGAAATACTTTTGTTTATTTTAAACCTGCTGCCTATTAATTTCATTGGGTGACCCCTAGTTCTTGTGTTATGAGAAGGAGTAAATAATACTTCCTTATTCACTTTCTCCACAACAGTTATGATTTTATAGACCTCTATCATAGTAGTAGATCCAGGATAATCTACCCTCAACATAGGTCTCATCCTAATCTCTAATACTTAGAGATTTGCTTAAACCTTGAAGCACAAGGTTTAATATCTCTTTCAAAAATTTTTATTAATTATGAAAACTCTGGATCTTCTTGATATCCATATAACTATCCACTCCAAGAGAGATGGATTGATTAACTCCGTTTTGCACTCAAAAAAGTTGTCAGTCTTCCATAGGATGGGTTTAAAGCTACATTAACACACACACATCACAGAATCATAGAAATGTAAGGTTGGAAAGAACCTTGAGAAGTCATCAAGTCCAGCCCGTCTTATTGAGGCAGGACCAAGTAACTTCCACTAATAGGGATTCCACAACCCCCTTTGAATGCCTATTCTAGAATTTAACTAACCTTGTCATTAGAAAGTTTTCCCTAATATCTAACTTAAATCTCCCTTGCTGCAGATTAAACACGTTACTTCTTGTCCTACCTTCAGTGGATACAGAGAACAATTGATCACATTCTTCTTTGTAACAGCTTTTAATGTATTAGAAGATTATCTGGTCGCCTCTCAGGCTTCTTTTCTCAAGTTCTCAATCCCAGTGTTTTTAATCTTTCCTCATAGGTCAGGTTTTCAAAACCTTTTATCATTTTTGTTGCTTCTCTGAACTTTCTCTAGTTTGTCCACATCTTTCCGAAAGTGTGATGCCCAGAATTGGACACAGTACTCCAGCTGAGGCCTCACCTGTGCTAAGTAAAGCAGGGCAGTTACCTCCTGGATCTGACCTATGACACTCCTGTTTATGTACCCCAGGATGATATTAGCCTTTTTTGCAACTGTGTCACATTGTTCATTCATTCACTTTGTGATCCATTATAACCCCAGATCTTTTTCAGCAGTACTCGGTAAACAGAGCTCACGGTGTGAAGTGGGAGTGCTGAAGGCCCAGAGGTCCAGTCTAAGGAGGCGATGAAGCCACGTGGCTTACCCTGGAGGAAGAGTGAGGCCCCCTAGAGGATCTGGCACACTGAAGGGATTCCTTCTAGAGACTGTTCCAAAGTTGGGGGCATAGCACCAATCCTGTAGATCTGTGACATTAGCATGCTAGCTCAAGCAGAGCTAGCGCATGTCTGTCTAGCCACTCTAGGAATTACGTCTCCAAGCTGTTGTGTATGCATACCCTAAGTATAGGCTAATATGAGCTCAGTTATTTCTACTGACATATAATCACAAGCCATAAAATGTCATTATCTCACCTGAATGCCTAAGGGCCTTTTTTATGGATTCACTTAAATCCCAATAATCAAAATATTTTCCAGTTTTAGGTCAGAGATTCTCCTATGCTATGGTAATGTGATAAGTTTATCAACTTACACTGGCAGGACAGTGTAATTGAAAGGGAGTTACCCCCTTGAACTGAATATGTGGAAAATGTATTGCTAGCAATGCTTATCATTTGAATGCAGGTGAAGAAATCATTTGTCAGCCCTGCCAAAATAGACTGTTTTAATGTAGGTAAGCATTTTAGGAGCAAGTCTCTTCATGCCTAATAGACCTACAAGGCAGATTGTATTTAACAAAAAAAACAAAACACATGTAAACTGGTGAAGATTTTATTTGGTTTGGTTTGGGACTTTCACTTAAAAACTTTATTTTATGAGGAAATTGCTTGATTGGCTCAAGTTACGTTAATAGAATTTGCAGTAGTGGAGTCTGTTAGAGTATGTATGTTCTTTAAGATCCTGACATTTTGCTTAGTCAGGTTATTGCAACCAAATTTTAATATGTTCTTTGTACATAGTGTGTGTATTTTTATAAAGAATTTCATATTCCTAGATTTTAAGGCCAGAAAAAACAATCGTAATAATATAATTTGACCTGCTGTTTAACACAGGCCATAGGACTTCCCTAGGAATTCTTGCTTCAAGTCCAGTATCTCTGGTTGAACTAGAGATTGTTTTTGTTTTTTAGAAAATCATCCAATCTTGATTTTAAAATTTCCAGTGATGGAGAATCCACCACAATCCTTGGTAAATTATTCCAATGGTTAATTACCTTCACTGTTAAAAATTCGCACCCTATTTCCAATATGAATTTGAATATCTTCAATTTTCAGTGAATGGATCTTGCTATACCTATGCCTGCTAGACTGAAGAGCCCTCCATTATCAAATTTCTAACTCTAATCCCTTTTAAATGCAATGCCAATTAATAAAGCTTTTCTTGAAAGTCTTGTACATAGCACTTGACTATTGTGCCATATGCATTAGCAGCCCAGTATACATTTCTTCTAATATTTTGATACTTTGGAGCTATCCACCTGACTGGCCCTAGAAGGACCATAGTAGAGCATAAACCCCCAAGCTCCAAGAGTTGTAAATAAATCTGAAATTCATGTACCATACCCAAAGCAAAAGTACACATTAACTAGAGAAATCGCTAAATTACAGGCATACTAGTAGGAAGTAAAGTTGTGGGGACTGATGAGGAAAAGCATATCATTGTATTGCAGGGATCAGCAACCTTTCAGAAGTGGTGTGCCGAGTCTTCATTTATTCACTCTAATTTAAGGTTTCGCATGCCAGTAATACATTTTAATGTTTTTAGAAGGTCTCTTTCTATAAGTCTATAATATAACTAAACTATTGTTGTATGTGAAGTAAATAAGGTTTTTAAAATGTTTAAGAAGCTTTAAGCTTTAAGAAGCTTCATTTAAAATTAAATTAAAATGCAGAGCTCCCCGGACTGGTGGCCAGGACCCAGGCAGTGTGAGTGCCACTGAAAATCAGCTTGCGTGCCGCCTTTGGCACGCGTGCCATAGGTTGCCTACCCCTGTTGTATTGTATTTTGTACCATAATCCTCAGAGTGCTCTCCTCACAGGAGAATGTAGAAAAAGGTTAAATATCAGAAGAAATGTACTTGGCTGCTGATGCATTTTAGAATTTATAGCAGAACAGAAATCAAAGTGGGGAAACTACATTCCATAAAACTGTAAAATATGAAAAGTGCATTATGTACCTGTGGGTCAGAGGTCCAATTACTTGATAAAATAGTTTTTAAAATCTTCTTATGGATTCATAGATTCCAAGGCCAGAAGGGACCATTGTGACCCTCTTGTCTGATCTCCTGTATAGCACAGGCCATAGAACTTACCCCAAATAATTCCTAAAGCATATCTGTTAGACAAACATCCAATCTTGATTTTAAAATGGTCAGTGATGGAGAATCCAACATGACCTTTGGTAAGTTGTTCCACTGGTTAATGACTCTCGCTGTTAAAAGTTTACGTCTTATTTCCAGTCTGAATTTGTCTAGTTTTAACTGCCAGCCATTGGATGGTGTTATACCATTCTCTGCTAGATTGAAGAGCCCATTATCAAATGTTTTTTCCCTGTGTACATACTTATAGACTGTAATCAAGTCACCTCTTAACCTTCTCTTTGTTAAACTAAATAGATTGAGCTCTTTGACTCTATCACTCTAAGGTATGTTTGCTAATCCTTTAATCATTCTCGTAGCTTTTCTGAGTCCTCTCCAATTTATCAACATCCTTTTTGAATTGTGGGCACCAGAACTGGACAAGATATTCTAGCAGTGGTTGTACCAGTGGTAAAATATGTGGTAAAGTAACCTCTCTACCCCTATTCAAGATTCCTATTTATGCATCCAAGGATCACATTAGCCCTTGTGGCCACAGTGTCGTAATGGCAGCTGATTATCCACCACAACCTCCAAATCTTTTTCAAAGTCAGTGCTTCCCAGTATAGAGTCCCCCATAATGTAAGTGGCCTCTCCATTTTTTTAAAAACTACTCCATGGGATTAAGGAGATGATGTGGGGGCTCAGCACTCTCAGGATCAGGCTTATTCACACTTTT